GTTTAAAATGTTTCAGGTTTCACATCAGCCATGTTTAAAATGTTTCAGTTTTCATATCAGCCATGTTTAAACCGTTTCAGAGTTCACATCAGCCATGTTTAAAATGTTTCAGTTTTCACATCAGCCATGTTTAAAATGTTTCAGTTTTCACATCAGCCATGTTTAAAATGTTTCAGGTTTCACATCAGCCATGTTTAAAATGTTTCAGTTTTCACATCAGCCATGTTTAAAATGTTTCAGGTTTCATATCAGCCATGTTTAAAATGTTTCAGGTTTCACATCAGCCATGTTTAAAATGTTTCAGGTTTCATATGAGCCATGTTTAAAATGTTTCAGGTTTCATATGAGCCATGTTTAAAATGTTTCAGGAAGCTCCTTAACAATATAATTCAGGAGGTTTTTTTGCTTTTCTCTGACAGTTTTCTCAATAATCTTAAAGGCAACAGAAAAGTTTGTCCTTTAAATAAGGCTGGTCTGTCGCTCTAAAACAAGTTGTAGTTAGTGTGTCAGTGTCAAATCTCACTGGTGTCAGGAAAAAGAAAAGGTGAGGCTTTAACGTCGTACCTGATGAACGCTCAGCAGCTCCTGCAGGTTTGAGTAAGTCGCAGGTTTTCTGCACACWGAGTCTTGTTCCAGTTTCTCCTGGATGGATTCCAGTTTCCTACATTTCTCCTGGAAGTCCAGGGAGTGCTGCAGCTCAGAGTTCAGCTCTCTGAAGAACCACAAACAGCACAAATCAAACATAAAACTAATCAAACAGGAAGTTTTAGACCAGGACACTCAAACCCAGTTACACAGGTGGCAAAAACTAATTATTTAAACAGAAGTTTGTCAATTTTAATTAAATACATGCCTGTGGGCCTTCAGTTGGTCACATTAGGTACAAATAACCAGTAGATTAATTTCATAGTTTTAGATGTTAAAATTATCTATTTGACAAATTATAATTTTATGAAATAGAATACACCATAAAGCAGGGCTTCTTCACCTTTTTGACCTCAGGGCCCAGTTTATTGAACATAAAGAGACACGAGGTCCAGTCAGACTTTACCAATGTATGGATCAAAATGATNTACAGGTCCCCTCAGGTAGAAGGTACAGGTCCCCTCAGGTAGAAGGTACAGGTCCTTACAGAGCCAGACTAAAACACTGGACAACAGTCTGTCACCTCCAGGCTATAAGACCTCTGAATGTGCAGGACTGCTGAGAAATATCTGTCAAATGTTTGCGTTATAATTACTGGGGCTACTTACTTACTACTTATTTATTTACTTATTTATTAAAGCAGGGTTGGGAGCTGTTTATTTGTTTATTCATTTATATTTGTTGTAWGATGTATGTGTGCAAGCACTGGTGTCACTTTTTACCTCTTGTGCACTTTAAAGGACTCTGCACAGTGTCGTACAACAAACACCGTCTCATTACCTTCGACAACAATAAAGTCCTGGATCTTTGCTGACTGGTCTTTCAGGGAGGTTTCTGTTGTTTTAAAGGGTTTTCTCTAAACACAGTAACCATAAATAAATCACCTGTGGGAGGGGCTCACCTGTGGGAGGGGCTCACCTGTGGGAGGGGCTCACCTGTGGGAGGGGCTCACCTGTGGGAGGGGCTCACCTGTGGGAGGGGCTCACCTGTAGGAGGGGCTCCTGGGGGTCTTCAGCTCTTCCAGGCAGCATGTTTCTGACCTTGCTGACCTCAGACTGGAGGCGGGTCACTGAGCTCTGACACTCAGACCACAGCTGAAGCAGGTGAGAGGAAAGGACTTGTATGAACCAGGTCTGATCAGGTGATGGTTCACATCTTTATTATTAAATTGATTAAATTTAATCAACAACACAAAACAAAACCTTTAGATTTACTGTGTTTTAAAGAGGAACCCTGACCCTGACTGTTCCTGTTCTCACAGGGATGACCTTTTCCCAGCTGGACCACACTGAGTCCAACCTGACCTCAGAGACCACCACAACAGAGTCCTGAGTCCTGCAGATGAAAGAAGACCTGCAGGACCTGAGCTCACACTAATCCTGGACCAGTTTTATCAGGACTGGATTCAAATATTAAATATTAACCTGTAACTGTGTCCACCAACACGTCCTCACTTTATATGAGTGATGTCAGCTAACAGCCTCGTTCCTACAGTCAGGACTGTGGTGAGGAGGAGGAGG